CTAAATCTCCTGGAAGAGAAAGTAGGTGGAACTCTTGAAGACATAGGGGTAGGCAAAGAGTTCATGGACAGAAATCAAATCGCATGGGTAACAGTTGAAAGACTTAGCCTCTGGGATCTGTTCTTACTGAGAAGTTTTTTCACGTCAAAAGAAATTACCAATAAAGTGAAAAGGCAACCTACAAATTTGGAAAAAATCATGACAAATAGAGGTGGAGACAGCCTCAGACAGAAAGGGCCCACATGCGGCAAAATGGCTGCTACCAGGAAAGGAATCTCATCCTTTTTCTGTGCTTTATCTGTTTCATTTGTGAAGAGAATACCTAACAGCCTCATTCTGGAATAGGATCAGCAAAGTTTAGCACTAGAACTTAACGCTTGTTGTAATCACTCACACACACACACACACACACACACACACACACACACACTATATCCAAGAATCAGTATGACAAAGAAGAAGCCAAAACTAACCATATTTGTTCATCGTATTTGCATAATCACTCCCAACAGCCATACATGCTGACCACAATTAAGCTTTGTCAGTCAGTATCAGCCAGTCAGTCAGTCAGTCAGTCAGAGTCAGAAAGTGTCTTGCTGGCCTATCTAGTCCTGTCAGCCATTATCAGTGTCAGCCAGCCAGTCATTGTCAGTCAGTAACTGTCAATCAGACAATGTCAGTTAGTGTCTGTCAGTCAGCCAATATCAGTCACTACTGGCCAGCCAATAAGTACAGCATTCAGGTAGCTTCTGAGCACTGTGTCCACCTGCCTTTTTGTTTATTTACTCCACCTTTCTTGAGTCTGGGAAATGGGATAGGATGTGTGTGTCACTTCTCCATGAGGCTCAAGAGAAGTCCCCAGAAACTCAGGATGAGTTAACTACCAAGCTAAGTCAAGTCACCTGCTGCCAGGCTGAACTTTGTGAGCATCAGTTCAGATGTGAGGCAAAGAGAACAATGTCAGCTTTGAGTCTGATGAGCCTCTTCCTCCTCCACAGGAGTTTTGGTGTTACTCCACCACAGTGCTCTGGCCTCAATCCCAGGACTGGTATAACAGCCAGAATGAGCCTGAGCTCTGTAGCAGCAGGTCTTTTGCTTTCTTCTCACAGGAGCCAGTGTTGTCTGTGGATGAGCAAACATGAGGTGTTTCCTCACAAAGCTGCTGCCTTCTCAAAAAGGACCACAGTTGGGGGTAGAGGAGGTTGGGGCCACTGGGAGCCTTGGTCCAGTTCCCAGATTTGATCATTGTTGTGGGCATGTGTTTGTCAGCTTAGACAATGCCCCCTTTGTTTGAAGAAACTGCTCATCTCCCCTCTCTTTCAACATTCACCCAACTTGTGAGTTTGTGCAGGAGCTCACAATCACAATGTATGTCCTTATCCTAGCAAGATGTGGGTGTGAGACCCAGGCTGAATCAGCTGTAGAACTTCCCTATTCCACAATGATTGGTCCTGGGATAAGCACATGGCCCAAAAAAGGCCAATCAGAATCCTCCTGAATTTTTCTGAGGCTGCATCTTAAGTCCTTTGCTAGAAGCACATGCGCCTAAGTCTGCTGGGAGAATGGCCTGCTGTGTAGGGAAGACTTTGGAAGGAGACAATAAACAGAAGGAAACAGGTGCCAAAGGAAGCAAACCAGAGATTCCTGATAGAATTTCTAGCCTCTAATTCCAGTCTGCCTCACAGTGGCCTCCATCCCTGGCCTCCTGCCATTGAGTTCTGTGAGCCACAGTTGTAGGCAAAGAATCTTGCCTAATACCAACAAACTGAGGCTAATTTTAGGCATTTCTTGCCCATTTGGAAGCTTATGAGCCACTGTAGTTTGCTCAAGCCCAGCAACTTCTGTGCTTTTAATCCCTTGGTGAGGAGCAGAAGGGCCAAGCACAGGAAGGGGCCACAGTCCTCAGGCGTATGTGAAGGCAGACCCTCAGAGGAGACTGGGGGACCACACTTTCCCCATACTCATGGCCTTTTCCTGCTATGAGGTGTGTGTGTTCTACTCAGGGTTCTGCTGTGAACAGGTTCTAGGTGCTGATAAGGTTTCCTTGTGGCTGGTCTTCTAGGTGACTCTATAGGTGTCTGATCTGTGCAGTCACACAGAGTCCCATACTTAGAAAGATCCCATTTCTGCTTCAGTGGTCTGCTATCACCATCTTGAAATTCTTAATCATTTGGAACAAAAGACCCAATGTTTTAATTTTTCCCAGTGCCCCATGAAGTGTGTAGTTGGTCCTAGCTCTGTGAAGTCCCTTGTGATAGAATTTGTGATGCAAGGGAATTGTTGCAGCACCCAGAACCCCTTTCTCCATTGACCCCATATTGTGTCTTCCTTGTCCTTTAATGTCTCTCCTCTTGCCAGCTGTATTATAATCTCCCCCTCAGCCCACCCCAATGGACCGACAACCTCTGCGGCCTTACCTCCACCAACCCACCCCACCCAGTAGCTGGCTCATCCTCCCCACCCGAATTCGATGTAAAACCAAAGCTGAGATTCCCTTTCTTTAAACAGTGCTGATGAGATGAGTGCTTGTGCCTGCTTCTGCCCCTCAAACCCCAACGCCCTACAGTTTGGCTTCAAATCCTCTCCCAGAAGGAGCCTTTCTAATAGGAGCAGTCGAGAACTCTGCTGCAGGTTCAAACAAGCAGAGCTGCCTTTATGAGGCCAATCATAGATCTGTGGTGAGGATTTAAAAGTCTAGCAAACAGGTTAGCAGTCTGTGTCCCTGGGACTATGCTGGTTAGCATAGTGCTGTGCTTGCCCTGGCCTGGTCACCTCTTTGGGAAGAGTGGAGTCCAGTCCTTGAAGCAAAACACCAATCAGCAACTGAAAAACTGGCCACCACCTTGGGGTCCACAGCCACAGAACTAAGCATGTGTGAAAACCCAGTGGAGGAGGAGGAGACAGAAACTGATACAAAGTTGACAGTGAAGCCGAAGTGTGGTAAAAGGGATTTATTTCTGGAACACAGTAACCGCCATGCAAGTGGGAACATTCCACTTACCAGTCCCGTCTATGTTTTTGTGTCACAAAGACATACTAAGACTTTGGAAAAATTCCAAAGGGGATTACACTTGAAATGTGCTGCTTTGTCACTTTTTTTTTTTTTTTTTTTTTTTTTTGGCACTTATCTTTATCACATTGAACAAACATAACAGCTTTACAGCTTACTAAAACTCAAACTTGTCCTCAAAGGAAGCAGTTTAAACATTTCCAACTGTAAATAAGCAATCCTGTGAGTCTCCATCAGGAGAGAAAGCCAGAGAAACCGAAAGCTGCTTGGCCAGCACACTCATGTCAAGAGGACACATGCATGAAGAAAATCTGCCTGCTCTGGGAAGGGCGGGCCTCTTCAGAACAGAGGTCCCCAAGTGGGAAGGCAACCTTGAACGTACAGCATTCTCCTCAGAAAATGGAAGTAAGGAACAGACGTGGCTGCAGCCAGGTAAGAACAGGGGTTGAAATGAAGGCACTGAGCATAGGAGCCCACATCTGTGATGCCAGCTATGAGAGAAGCTGAGGAAGGAAGAGCACAAGTCAGCCTGAGCGCTTAGCAAGTCCCTGTGTCAAAATACAAAATACAAAAAAAAACCAGGCCTGGATATAGGCTCGTGGCAGAGTGCTTATCTAGCATGCTGGAGGCCCTGGGTTCAATCCTTAGCACCACAAAGGCACAGCATGGCAGATTGTCACTGCACTGTTCTTCAAGGACAGCATTTACCATGAATAAAAGGGCTGGAAGGCCCCTCTCGGAGCCACTCCCTCGGCTGTGTCAGCAGCACATCCCACTCAGCCCAGTAGCAATCTGGGAGGAGCTTCTCCGTGCACTTGCCAGGCAGCAGCGAGTGGAGGGCACTGAGGACCAGATCCCACCGGCCGGTGCGCACACCCTTCCTTAACAGCTGAGCTACCACATCCCCTGAAGAACACAGAACACCAGAATGCCAGGGCCTCTGACGGCGTGGCGCCCACGCTCTGGCAGCACTGTCTCATTTCTTTTTTGGTGAACATGGGTTGTCCCCTTCACCCTCAAATGCAGAGCAGCCGCTATCAGGAAGAAACAGAACAACTCAAAAGTGGCAGCAAATCCCCATGAGAGCCCAGCTCCCTGCTCATGCTCCTGAAGATTTCTGGGTAAAACCTTCTGACTCCTGGGCCCAGGTTTACTGTAAGGTGTGGTTTAGAAGGACTTGTGCTGGAAACTACTGTGCTAGATGGCTGAAAAGATAGAGACCAAACACTGAGCAAAGCAGTGTGTGTGTATGTGTGTGTGTAGGCGTGTGTGTGTGTTTGTGTGTTTGGTGTACAGTGTGTGTGTGCGTATTTGGGTGCCCAAGTGGGTTGGAGGGCCCCTGAGTGACCCACTTTAAGCATACATGGCTTCCTAAGTTGCACAAGCGTGCACAACTAGAAATGAGTTTGCATTTAGCCCAGTTATATAGGTATCTCCTGATACATCCTAATCTGTGTGCAGTGGTCACCACTGAATT